ACCGCGAGATTACAAAGAAGGCAAGTCAGAGCTGTAAAACGCGAGCATTTCGATGTGCCGGGGATGGGTACTCCTTTTGAGTTAAGCCTAACGGTGACCTGTGGATGTGTCTGGAGCACATATATATATATGAGCACCCCATTAATGGGTCTTATTTTTGAGATGAAAACAGACCACCGAGATTCCATCGTCCTTGACAAAAATGGGGGTATAATCCGGGTCGCGAGTGTAGTCTGGTGGAGGTGAAGAGGGCTGGGCGGGAGTTAGGCGGACATTGAGACACCTGCAGGCGTACTTGACCTCTGAGTGGTCACTGGCCATGAGAGGATGTCCTGGGCGACTGAAGAGAAAGTCTCGTTGCGGCCGTCGGACGTGGTTTTGTGTCAACTCTCAGATTCGGACAGACGGTCCCATTTCCGGACCTCAAAGCGGACATTGAATCTCATTCCCCACAATTATCCTCACCATATCGCTCTCATCGCTCGCAACATCCATTTAGATCTCCAGGTCATGTTCCGATTGCAATTAAATCAAATGCTCTCTATTAGTGGTAGCCATTTCACATATCCTACGGTCTATACACGCACGAACACCTTCTGATTTCGCCGAAATCACAAGTTCACTTTTTCTTCTTGCTTTCGCCTTCAACCTCTTCGGCATCCGTCGCAAGGACCTGTCCGTATTCATTGACCCGTTTCGGGTCGATGCGATAAATCCATCGCTATACAAAGGTCAGCTGTCACTCCCCAAAGACGTACTCAATGACGCACCTGATATAAGAAGATGAGAAACACGACATCGTCTCTACAATTTCAGTTAGGAGAATCCCGGTACTTGTCAGTTGTGCAAGAATTGAAATGCCGGTGAGATTACTGTACCGGAAACAGGCCAGACGGTGAAGGAATGGCATCTTGATACAGAATCTGTGAGAATGGTTTTCACGTGAGTAACCCCCTGTCTCAAGATAATCAGAGAACATCTTACGCAAATAAATCATCGACTACAGTCGATAGCGTTTTATAGACCATTGCCTTCATTGGCATGTGCGCCACACTCTGTACAAAACAAAAAAATGCTTTGTAAGAAGATTGGGAGTGTTACCTGGAGAGAACAGACCTTGAGCTTGTAGTTGATGATCAGTTGAGGAACCAATTGGGCCTATGGGACACAGCAACGATTAATAAGTAATCTGCGCGTGTAGTTGAAACGTACAAATCCGAACATGTAGACGAAAGATGTCAGGGTCGAGATCACAAAACTGTACCATCCTCTGTGCGACTCATACACAAGAGAGTATACAGAATATGCAGCGAGTAAGGGTATCGCCACATAGGCCACATAGCGGAACGCCAATCGGTCATACCTGCATTATATACAGTCAATCAAATGTACAAACTTAGGTCCTGCCACGTACTCTTGCGTTTTCTTCTCGTCTTCACTGAGCACGTGTTTGTCTATTATTGAACAAGTTGATGAAGAAGTTCAGCACAGAAGGAAGTATCGTTTTTTTTACCTTTGATGTCCAGCTTATATGGAAGGAGAGAACCCAGGGTATTCGGAACAATTCTGATATCGACAGCTTTGGTGATCTATTCAATGCATGAGAAAGCATCAGTGGATTGGATTTAAAGCGTACCTTCCAGGCTTCAATGACGACACCCATACCGGACCCCATCAAAATCATCCAGCTGGTGTTCTCATTATTGTCGATGAGATACAAGAGGATGACGAGTTGGACGAAAACGTTAGTGACAATCTGTCAAAACATTTGAGAGGTGATTTCAATTATGAATTTGATAGAGACGTACAGTCCTATGAAGAGACACAGAAATCAGGACGTCAGCGGAAAAGGAGCTCAAAGTCAACTCACCGAACAGAGACGCCAGTCATCTCTTTCTTTTGACGCCAATGTGACACGTCGGACTTGAAGGCCAGCATCTCAAAGCTATAGAACAACATATGAATATTGACAAAAAAAAAGGGAGGCATGGACTTGCATGACATGCAAAATGCTGACCAATCCCGTCAAACCCAAGAACCAAGGATTGGTTTCCAACAGCATCCGCTTGACCTCGTCAAGCTCCGCTCCAGTTGTCTGCCCTTGTTGCTTGGCGGCCTCGTTGAAGCCATGCGTCATGGAAGCAAAAAGTTGGAATTTCATGTAGGACATGGGCTGGAAGGTGAATTGGACGGGTAGAGAGGGTGTTGTCTCATTGATTTGAATGTAATGCGAGCGAAGATGCCAGAATTCGTTGGGAAAGATAATTGGCTTGTAAAATGCTTTTGTTCCTTTCTCATCGCGTTCTTCAGGAACCAGATGAATAACTTCAAAGAAGGTCAGTCAGAGAAAATAAAATGATGGTATTCTACATACACTGGGCGATAGGTGGCGGAATGTTGGCGAAAGGAAGAGTTGTGGCATCAGAAATTAAAGCCAACGTGATGTTCTAGCCGAAGTTGTCAATATTTGTGAAAATATATCACAGGCGGAAACGCACTTGGTGCCAGTGGGGAGCAATAATATCGGGCTAAATTGCAACGTCAGAACAATCAGAAAGGTGAAGCCTCAGTTTACGGCACACCTCTTCAACCTCTTCATGTTCCTGCTCATTACTGCTTAAAAGGTTCTTCTCCTTCCTGGCTTTGAGACGAGGAAGGTAAGGCGTGATAACTAATTTTTTGTTTGTCAAGGAAAGAAAAAAGAACAGAGAGCAGCATACGCTTTCGGATGTGGTGAATGCTGGAAGGATCGAAGGTTGGACTCCGTGGATCGAGATCTGCTCCATCTCTTGTTAGGACAATATCAGCCCATAAAGACCCGTTCCTCAGTACCGACTTATGACGGCAGGAGGAGTCAGGCACCGCTTAGCGAAGGAACGAAGAGGAGACTCACTTCAGGGAATTTGACATCGAATTCGACTACTCGATGGTCGTTATAGTTTCCGTATGTGATATTCTGCCATGTAAAGTGAGGAAGATCTGCATCTTCGTTCTTGAGGTGAGGGTAGGCCAATCTTGAGAATACGTCGGTTCGTGGAGAACTTGAGAGGTAAACATGCATGTCGAGGTTCGAACCAAGGGGCCAATACGGTGCCACTTCGGCCGGTGGTAGTTTCGTCGCGTCAACCCCTTCAGGTAAAGGTTTTCCTGTAGAATCTCTTGCAGGCGTTGCTGGAGTGCTTTGCTGATTGCCGGTAAGGAATTTCGTGGCTGAAGGGAAGTTCGATGGCAATTAGTATCCGGTCCTGAATCAAAAGTATGAACGTACCAAGGTTTGTTATTACCCATACTAATAGCACTTGCTGTGAAAGGCGACAGGTCCCTCATTATTACCTGTTACGATGGTACAGTACACGCCTTCCGGACATACCTGGGCAATCTTGATGAATTTCTGCACCATTGACTCCTCTTGCTGCCTTTGAGCTGGAGCAGCTGCAGGCTCTGGCATTGTAATGATCTTCTTGAGAGAGAAAGAGGAAGTTTGTGCAAATGCCGTCAGCGCCACTACACCTTCGATAGCCGGGTTCAACGGGCCGACGCCGAAACTCTGACAAGGGTCTGCACAGAGAGTAAAACGAACGTTGCAAATAAACAAAGAGCACATATATATGTTACATTAGAGAGTATATACACTGAAAATATTAACCAAGAACCAGTAAAAAATCGAACGCACGCATCTACTAGTACTCAGCAGTATTTATCAACATTATATCTAACGTGTTCTACTTTCCGTAGGGCGGGCGCATCAGTAGATTTGACCTATGCTATGGCTGCTATGGGTTGCTACGGAGTGCTCCGTAATCAGGTACCGTTGCTATAAATGGGGATACCCTTGCTATGGTGCTATGGGATGCTATGGTGCGCTCCATAACATTCTGTAGAGCGCCATTTCACCCATTTTCGGGCATTTTTGGCCCTCAAAAATCCAAGTTTACTGATGCGGATCAACTGAAATTGAAGGTGCCTTCTTCGGGATTCCATCGTACATTAACATCTGACATAAGACGAAGGGAATCATAGCTAAACAAGGGAATCATTGAACACCGTAGGTGGCACGGCATTTCAAACTCAGGAAAAAAGTGTACCGAATGGCAACATCCAAGTCACCAATTAGGTTTTCAAATTCTGAAGATGGGATCTTCTTCATCTTAAATGTAGGTGGACCATCTAGCCCAATCATTTTGCCAAACATTGCTGGGTCACTGCAAACTCCATCATACAACCATTTAGCACTACCCATTTTGCAAGATGGCTTCCACTTATAAGACAAAGGAAAGTGGAGGGTTAGCCAGAGTATATGGGATAGAACAGTAACTTGAAGAACGAGTACTGACAGTCATCTGCTTCTGAATCCCGCTCCGCACAGCAGTTGCAAGCTTGTCGGCAGCACCTTCCAGCTCCTTCGGACTTTTTGTCTTTGGCTTGTAGGATTCGACCACCTCCTCCAAGCTACGCGCATATCTGCAAAGCTGCAAAACCAATTCCATCACAGTTTCCGGCAAAGCAAAGTTTGACGCGTCTGACAGGATACCTTCCATGGTCTTTACCGCAAAAGCCGTCTCTGCAAGCTTAACCTTCTTTGATGCTGCTGATGCTGCAGTGTCACTTTTGCACTTTTTGGTGACTACGTTGGTAGACGACATGAATAATTCAAAAAGGCAAGGAACGCGTAGGACAATAAGTCGACGAAAGCAGGTGCCAAACGCGTAGCCTGTTAAATACCTAGGCTAACTCACGTGACCACGTATAGACGCATTTACGTTTTAAGTAACCTGTTACCCTGTTACATTGATTGACTCTGAACCTTGCACAACTTTACTCTCCAAGAGACTAAAACAATCATTTAGTGGCTTAAGAAGATAGAAACAGTTTGAGACAAAATTTTGGACTATCTTCCAACTTTTCAATTCCCATCCTTACAGACAAAAAATTTTCAATGAAGCCTGGGACAACTTTACTAGCAGCAAAAAGCACTACAAGAAAAGGTAAAAACACAAAGTAGCCCACCGCGAGGGTCGAACTCGCAGCCTTCAGATGACACACGCCTATATCGTAAAAGTCTGACGCTCTATCCGATTGAGCTAGGCGGGCATCGAAGAACATAATTTAGGCGCCCACAGCTGTTGGCGGGCGTTTTAAAAATTTCTTTGGAGGTGCGATAGATAGGTTTGAAATGGCACTTGCCATAAAACAGATTCTGATGGACTAATCAGTTGAATTGCTGTAGAAAAAATGATATGGATAGTTTTCATACTTTAAACTGGAAGCCTCAAGTTGTCAGAAGGCCCATGGGCTACTACAAGCTGAAAATTGATGTTTGAAGTAGCCATTCTAAAAGTTTGTATCTATCAGATACCAGCTGGTAGCACTTTAGAGCTCTTTCCATTCCATAAAAGTAGAAATATTGCCTTTGTTACCACTCTTTTTCTGGAAATCCTCCTCCTCCTCCTCCTCCTCCCTGATTTCACTCTAAAATCACCTCTAAACATGGGGTCATAGCTCAATTGGGAGAGCAGTAGACTGAAGAGATCATGAGATTGTATTCTAAAGGTCCCGCGTTCGATCCGCGGTGACCCCATAGCTATTTTTTGCATTCAGAACATCAGAACATGCATGGTAACGCGCCTATGGACAGCCTCATTGGAATTTAGTTCTTTTCGTCCATGATTGCTAGGTCTTGAGCTCAGGGATGGCACTTAGTAACATATTTTGTAAATTTGCTTGACATAAATCAATTGATTTGAAATAATACAAAGGATAGAAAAAGTACCGCACAAAGCTACACCACAGGATCCCTCTCACTTCAAATCATCGAAAGTGCTGAAGGCCTATCAGCCGCCCTTGGAAATGCATTTGTCGCAGCCAAAACGACCATCTGCTTTTCATGGCTGATATATCCCCTGATAAAATTTTTGTAAATCATGTTCGCCACTAAACATTCTGCCTCTTCTTCAGGGACGTCAATCCCAGAAACCGTCAGGGCAGTGTGGAACATGGATATCGGAATTCGAGTCCCTTTGCCTGTAGCTACCCACCTAGAATACACATCCAGGAAAAAGGTTAGTTATAAAAAGAACTGGATATGAAAGCAAGTACATTCGTCGGAACAAACTCCTTATGCAAAGTTCTCTAGCCTTTTCCAAGGAAAGCCACAAGTTTAGTTCAAGGAGCCTTGTTTCCCATTTTTCAAGTGCCTGGTCATATGCTTTGGGGTCTCCTTGTCTGATAGCTGCAATAAATGGAGAAAAGATTTCATCCAGAACAGGGAAGCGCTGCATCAGTTCTCTGGTAGGAAGATGTCCTTTCAATATCCGGAGGGGAATCAGATATGCAAGAATACGCCTGAAACGCAACCTGGCCATTAGAGCTTTTGGCACGGTGTCAGAAAGTTGACTGACTCTTGGTTAGCATGGGCATCAACATGACAATTGTAGAAAGCGAGAGTCAGTTCCTCTTCAGACTACAGAGGGTTGTCAGTCAAAACACAAGCTAGAATTGTCAGCTAGAAATAACCTTGGCGAACTCTTCATTCAAGAAACTTAGCATGCCGATATAATACCTATATGTAACCTTCCACGCATTTAGTAAACCATGCATCGAGAAAGATAGCTAGACATACTTGATGCGACCTTGGAAACAGAGATAGGGTTGGGATGTCGGTATTTGCCTCTAATGCACGCAAGATATTCTTGGCAAGCGATATTCGCTTGACCTATAACACAGGTTTTGTGGAAGTACATTTTAAAATATGGAAAGTGCAACTTGCCCGAAAATAACACTTCAGGACTAGTCCAACAACGTAATAGATACCCCATTTTCTTGACTGTTCAGGAGGTGAAGTCCTGGATAACAAAGCAAGATATCCTTCTCAGTTAATTTCCAGAGAAGGATATGCTTTCTGGGATCATGCCTATCTGTCATGCAATTTCCAAAAGCTTTGGCGATTATTCTGGCGGCTTCCTCCATGCAGTCGCTTTTTTGGTTATGGTACTTGGCATGAAAGTCGGCCTGCAATGCATTAGACAGAGACGAATTCCAAGAAGCGGCGCATTCACATCCATGGCGAGGTCTCTCAAATCCCGCAGTATTGAGAACAGTGCAGGCAACGTCCAACCGCGATTCTCAGTAAAAAATCGTAAGAAGAGTCTGAATAGAAGTCATTGATGTGTGTCAGCAGACGAGACCGGTCAAGCACGTACGAAACAAGTTGAGATTCCTCCTTGAAAGCCTCAATATACCTCTTCTTCGCGACATGAGTACAAACTAGCACATATTGGATGGCGATGTCGTCCCATGGGGCTTCCATAGAGCCTTCGTATCGACCGAGAGATGCTCGCTACCAGAATAATCTCAAAGATCCACAATTGCTGCTCGAACAAAGGATGCATACAGTTGGGTTCCGAAACTCCTTCACTAGGTCCTTTCCATGCGGACTTGTGGGTCGAAGAAGGTAAGCTAGATTAGGCCCGTTTTCAGCGACAATGGCATCGTTGAGTTGTGTTATGAATGTCGAGAAGTCCATAGGCATGTTGAAGAGAAGTAATGCAGCAGCGGAGAGGGCCAAGTGACCAAGTATTGAGAGCAAGTTTGATTTCCGAATTCTATTGCCGTCAAATGTCATGGTCGCTTTCCGTGATGGGATCACGTGACTGATCGAGCACGCTCTTAGGGGCTGATATGACCTCAGAGTTGCCGAAACGGCATAATCTCTCTTTCTTTCCTTCGACTTGTACTTGTAACGATGGCTTTACAACCCTCTCTGCGTCCTCAGATTATTCTAGGTCATCCTGACTCCCCTCATACCTTGGATATCTTTCGTGCGTATAATGCAACAAGTTCTCCAGTTTGAACTTATTAGTCGCATCTATATCTTGCTGATGATACCTCGAACAGTGGATTATGTTTGCCCATTCAGGTCTGCATCCTACTTTATGAGCGTATATACTGTCATAAATACGATCTGCAGTGCCAAAATAGCATTCAAGATAGACAAAATTCTCAAACCACTCCTCGGTCCTGGTGGGCAGTACGATGGCAAAGTAAAGATAATATACAGAATTCAAGTTCAGCCATGGCACGCTCTATCTACCCTGACAAATGAAGCTGGTCTAGCTGTGCGTACGTCTTTCCGTTTAAGACTTCTGTCTGACGGAGATCATATCAGGCCCTCCGCGCGTCCCCAGAGAACTTTTGGGCATTCAGTCTGGCTGTACGTACTATCCTGATGATTTTCAAACGCCAGAACCAAAACCGACACTGCACGTATGCTGTAGCTTTTCAAACGTCAAGAAGAATACTTCGACATACCCTCTCAAGATCTTACAGTTCGGCAGATCCGAGAGAAGTTGGCCAAACTTGCATCTGAAGTCTTGCCAGCCAACACCATTGACCACTTTAAGGACCTTCTCACCTTTAAAGGATCGGCAAATGGAGGAAACTCCGTTACCGATGACCTCAAATACAATGGTATGATATATGTCCTTAAATTATGCTCTTTACCTGAATTATTTGTTTGTCTTCAGTTAAATTCTCCAGGCAGAATAGTATCCATGTGTCGCCATCCGTTCTTTGGGATGGCCTTCTCCAAAACCAGGTATCAAGCTCCTGGGAGGAAGCAGAGTGGAAGGAGTTCTTGTCGAAGCAAGTTCAATTATAGGCCCGCTTCTCATGACCACTTCTACCATATATTCACGCTCCGTAGCATTTGTACTTGCCCACGCAGAAATAGAAATACAAGATTAGATGACAAGATATAGTAGGGCCTTCTGTACAGAGCAGAAAGTCTAGTCATACAGCTCGCATACATTGGTTACAATGAAACCTGACCCATAGCCCAATGAACAGGTAATGAAGTTCATCAGTAATCGTATCCCCCTCTCTTCTCCTTGTAAATAGATCTTGGACTGTGTAGATCTTCCGAAGGAGGGGTTGGATTCGGCGCCACAATCGTCTCGGGCGCACCGGAAGCAAATCCCATGACCATCTTGTTTCCCAACGACTCAAAATCAAGCCTTGCCCCATCTTAAAATTGTCATTTTTGAATATTCGTTGATAGACGTAAGAGTCGTTGAATGGCAGGACGTAAGAAGTGGTAGGATCTGAGAAGGGTATTGGAACGAGGGAGCGTAGCCAGACACGTAATTTATGCGAGGCACCTGCGGGCATTGAATTAGTCGGTATAGTACTGGAAAAAACATATGAGCTTTATTAAATTTGAAACGGGATAGAAGAAGGGCTTACAAGATTAGGAAGCTTATAGTCCTGGGGTCGCCGTCGACCCTTAGCCGCAAGTCTTCAAACAGCGTATCCCCGACACCGTTTGCATCGTATACCATTGAGTATTTGTACAGTTTGTTAGTGATAAGCTGCCATCTATGCATAGTCAACATAATCCAGTTAAAAAGATTACGGAAGAAATTAAGAAGATTACAGACCTTACAAGAAAAGTTACCATCGCCCTCCCAACATAGGCGTTATACACCTGCTCTCCGGCTTCTGCATTCTTCAATCTTGCAAAAGATGCATCACCGATAGAATTGAAATCAGGATCTCTGGCAATCCATAATTCGTCTTCTCCAAATAGACGATGGTCGACGCCGTTCACTCTCAGCCATACACGAAGAGACCATAAAGATCCTGTTGGCAATCCTGCTTTCCCCGGAAATATGCTATGCATGTACATTATCAGCGTCAGGGTATAGCGGGAGGAAACTGCAACGCACAATACAACAAAATCAAGCTTTCGTGGGTCCACGTTTAATGTTCTCGTTGTTGGTTCGCATAACGAACGTTCGATTCCATTGGCCTTGAAGGAGAGATTGAATGTATATTTGCCAGGCCTCGGTTTACCAGATTCCGGTTCGACACTTACAAGATACAGTCAAAAAGTTCGTATTACATCCGAGCGAAAAGCTACGTACGATATCATGAATTGCATAGGCGCGTTATTCGCCACTAACTTATAGGTGTAGATATATCGTTCATGTCGTGGAAGAGGCCTGACATGTCTCCGCGTTACACTTTCATCGGCAGCTTTGTGAGACATGGTTCGTAAGAAATCAAGAAGAGAACGACAGACTTCAAAGGTGAGATACCCCTGTGATCTGTATAAGCGCTTATGCTGCTCGCGCCATTGGAATTGCTTGGTGTAACAAGGGGAAGGAAGGAATTGATGGTCGAGATATGAGCATAAGATTCATCCCACGCATGGCAGGGCCAGAGGCGCACCTTCTGCTCACAGCTGCTTCATAATCTGGACAGTCGTCATCGTCGTTTACGGCTGTTGGTTGTTGTCGCGCTGGTTGGCGGGATTCAGAGCGTTCAGGTATTGAGGTCATGATTGTGAGAGACATTCCTCGAATGACAGATGAGAACGCAGGCAAGCGCTAAAGATGTCTACAATTCAGTTGCGTGCGGTATATTATTGCTTTTTGACATGATGATGGACGAAAGATGTCGACCTTGAATCATGTGCTGCAGCACAGCATCTAACGTCTGAAACGAGTCCAAGCTGTGTTCACTCTGATGCTCTCAACACTGCGCAGCTTTCTATAACTCACTACTTATCTCTGTGGTGGC